AAATAATTGATGAACTAATTTTTAGGAAAGTCCAAAAAAGAATACAAAGGTTAATAAAGTAATTTTATAATTTAATAAATAAACAGCTCAAAATTAGAGATTTTTTAAATAATTTAACCCCAAAAAGAAACCGGCCAATTTTTTTTTCTCTCTCTGTCGTATTCATGCATAAATTCAAGCATTGGCGAGAGAGATTCCATTATCGGCGCAACTACCACTTTCCCCACTTTTGCCAAACAAGCACTCTCTATGGGGAACTCAGCGTTCTGTGCGCCTTCGATGGCATCCAATGGCGCCGCGAAGGTCTTGACCTTAGACGGAAACTTGCAGAGCTTCATGAAGCCAGTGAAGGCCGCTGAATTAATGATCGAGCATTCCGGAAAATTCCTCTGCGATTCCGGCGATCTCAAGGTCGGCCATCGGATTCCAGGCCTTTTGACGGAGGAGTATCTTGAGGGCGGCCGATTGTACTTTCTACTTCCGATGGATCTTCTTTACTCTGTGTTGACGATCGAGGAAATGAGTTCTCTCACCTACATCGCTACGAAGGCTATGAAACGTGGAAATTCGAGTGGATTTGGAAGGATCTTCCCTGTTTTGATCAGTGAACTCTGTATTTTTCCGTCGGATGTCAATGGATTGAAATCGGCGGACGGCGATGGAGAGAATAATCAAAGTTCAAAGCCGGTGCAGAGATTGATGTCGAAACAGAGATCGTGGAAGCCGGCGCTCGAAACCATTGCTGAAACTTCGTGCACATAGAAAGAAAGAGGATCGCAATCGAAATCGCAAATATGTGTGAGATTAATTACATTACAAATAATGCATAGCATTTTTGCTTCGATAATCGTAGATACAATAAACATCGGAAATTTTATCCATTCTTCATAGATATATATATCATTGTATATATTGTGAAGTGATGAGGGGATGCAAGTCTTTTTCTGAACATTTTCCTTTTCCTTTCGGATATTGTGTAGAATTGACTTTCAATGGAAATGGAAAAGTCTAAGCAATCATAGTGGCCGTCACTTCGACTTCAGAAATCCTTATCAAGTTTTATTCCATAGATGATTTTGAAATGTTTATGATAGGCTATTAACTTAGAAAGAAGAAATATAAACTTCTACATAAATACGGAACTTTCACTTTTTAAGTTTCTTGTGTTCAAACTTGTAACAAATAACGACCAAATCCCCCAAAAAAGTTAAATCAACATTTTGGTAAAATTGGTTATAGAAATCTGCAAATTTCAGCACTGAATTCTCCGCCATTAAAGCCTCACATCCTTCAACTCCATCGATCAATTTCAGTAACCCTAATTCCAGATCTCACTTCCAACTCCATTAACGTCTCCTACAAGATGAACCCTCCCTCAATGTCTAGATATCACACCAACTACGTTACTGTGCGTTTTCTTTTTCCCTCAATCTGGAAAAGATAGAAATAAGGAAATATTTTCAGTGTCGTTTGGCTGTCTTTTTTTTTTCTTTTTTTTCTTTTTTGAGTTCCTTAAAGTAGACCACAGCTATTTAATAGTGAAAAGTTAACCGAGTTTGGAACGATTCTAGGGGATTATGACATCATAATCTTAGTTGGACATACAACGCGTTCAGTGTTTTTTTTTCTCATTTATTAGTATTAATACGTTTCGATGTTATCAACATTTATATTGACCTTGCTCTCTCATTTCTGAAAGGTATTCCAATGGCGGATCAGACCCAGAAGCCAGAGCTTTTTGAACTCAACAATGGAACCATTCAGGTTCTCCTTTCCAACCTTGGTTGCACCATCATTTCTCTCGTTGTTCCGGACAAAAATGGTAACAAACAATTTGTATTTGACTTTTTTCCGTTCAGTTTTTCGTGGTTTTCTTTCTGAGTTGCTGATCTTGTACTATATTGAATTTTGAAGGGAAATTGGCTGATGTCGTCCTTGGACTCGACTCTCTCGACTTGTATCAGGTAAGATTTTTCGCTTTTTCTGGCGATCCATTTGAGTTCGATGTTCCGCGATTCAAATCAAATGGTTGTGGATATGTCGAGATTGACGGAATTTTAGGGTTTATATATGGCCTGCATGATTGTGAGGATTGCGATTGCAGGAATTGAGCTGAATTTCGTTATGTTTGTGGATACGAGTTTCTTATGTTGGTTGGATTTCATTGTGAACAGGCGGGTCTTTCACCTTATTTTGGCTGCATTGTTGGTCGAGTCGCAAACAGAATCAAAGACGGGAAGTTTACACTCGATGGGCAAGAATACTCTTTGTCTATTAACAGACCTCCAAACAGTCTCCATGGTAAGGAATTGGAAAATTCAAATATCTGTTATCTCTTGGATCTTGAATTGCAGAGAATTCTAAACGAAACCTTATATTTTATTCAAATAATGTCCTGAGCTGCTGTGAATTAATTCTTTGATCATCGACTTTTAGTTCCCCATTTGTTATTTCAACTTTATATTCGAACATTAGGTTTTTCCCCCATTATCTACCTTGACGGGAATCTTGGATGTTGATCGTGTTCATATCAGTCTATATAAGGGCTTAAAATGTTTCTGTTTTCATTTTTTTTTTGTTTAATTTTCTGCTAATTGAAGTACCCTCTTCAGATATGTTACATTTCAGAGTGATATGAGTACATGGAGGAAACTTTTGTCTGTGTGATACCATCTTTAGGAGTAGTCTAAAGCATTGTCTCTTCTTCCTTCAGGTGGGCACCAAGGATTTGACAAGAAATTATGGGAGGCGAGCAATTACACAAGGGGCGAGAATGCATCGATCACCTTTAAGTATCACAGTGCTGATGGAGAGGAGGGTATGATAATGTTGGTATTCACTCTTTTCCGTTCATCCAAATGATATTACTTACGAACATTAGCAATTTTTTCCCCTGGTAATAGGTTACCCAGGAGCTGTCTCCGTTACTGCAACTTACACACTCACTTCAAGCACAACAATGAGGCTTGACATGGAGGCAATCCCTGAAAACAAGGCCACCATAATCAACTTGGCTCAACACACGTACTGGAACTTAGGTGGGCATAGCTCTGGGAATATTCTCAACCATTCAATTCAACTTTGGGCAAACCATTTTACTCCAGTTGATGAGAACACGGTCCCAACCGGAGAAATCGTGCCTGTCAAAGACACCCCCTTTGATTTCACTACTGAAAAGACGATCGGTAGCTCTATTAGTGAGGTTGGCATGGGATATGATCACAATTACGTGCTTGACTGCGGAGACGAAAAATCAGGTTTGAAGCATGTTGCAAAAGTGAAGGAACCATCAAGTGGAAGAGTCCTGGACTTGTGGAGCAATGCCCCTGGAGTGCAGTTTTACACTGGCAACTATGTGAAGGATATTGTGGGCAAAGAACGTGCTGTTTATGGTAAGCATGCAGGTCTGTGTTTGGAGACACAAGGATTCCCCAACGCGGTGAATCAACCCAACTTCCCATCTGTTGTGGTTCAACCGAGCGGGAAGTACCAGCACACCATGCTATTTGAGTTTTCAGTTGAATAGGTTGCTGAGTTTTTGATTGTGACAATAATAAGGTTCATTTCCATGCTATTTGGTTGTTGTTCTTGTTTTATCAAACAAGTGGATGAGTTGTTTTGAGACAATAGGAATCCTACAGTTGTTTCAATTGCTTGTGTGATTTTGAAGCATCATATTCTTTTAATGGTATAGAATCCCAAGCATCATATTCTTTTAGTTGGAGATGTCACCATTTTTTCACCTTTTTTATATATCAGTGAGCGTTCGGAGTGATGAAAGATCTCACGTTTTAAGGCCACCGTTGTCCACATCATCCTTTACCTTAGGAATCTCTCGACCCTATCGAAAATACTTGCATTCAAAGGTAGTTTTTGGTTTATGGGATTCTTGATGCTATTCCAAGACATGTTTGGATGATTAGTAAATTTTGAACATGGAAGTCCAATAAATCTGTCATTTGGTTGAGGAGTATTTCAGGGTATGAAAATCTCTCCCCTAATGACTATAGAAGTAGACAATATTAAGCCAGACAATGGGATATCAGAGCCAAAATGACTATATGTAGCATAAGTGGACACTATTATATGTAACAGAGCCAGAATGACTATATGTAACATAAGTGGACAATATTATATGTAACAGAGCCAGAATGACTATATGTAACATAAGTAGATATTATATGTAACAGAGCCAGAATGGCTATATGTAACATAAGTGGATATTATATGTAACAGAGCTAGAATGACTATATTTAACATAAGTGGACAATATTATATGTAACAGAGCCAAACACTAAGATATCAGAGTCAGAATGACTATATGTAACATAAGTGGACAATATTATATCTAACAGAGCCAGAATGACTATATGTAACATAAGTGGACAATAGTATATGTAATAGAGCTAGAATGACACTATATGTAACATAAGTGGACAATAGTATATGTAATAGAGCTAGAATGACACTATATGTAACATAAGTGGACAATAGTATATGTAATAGAGCTAGAATGACTATATGTAATATAAGTGGACAATATTATATGTAACAGAGCCAGAATGACTATATGTAACATAAGTGGACAATATTATATGTAACAGAGCCATACACTAAGATATCAGAGCCAAAATGACTATATGTAACATAAGTGGACAATATCAGCGGTGGCCAGAATGACTATATGTAACATAAGCGGACAATTATTATAAATGACAATATGGTATCAGAGTCAGGCACTGTGAGATCCATTGTGAAGGCGACGACAGGACGGAACGAACTGGATTGTGAGATCCCACACCGATCGAAGAAGAGAATTAAACATTCCCTTAAACCTCTCTAGTAAATGAGTTTTAAAATTGTGAAAAGAGAACGAAGCATTTCCTGAAACGAAGCGTTCCCTGAAATCTCTAGTAGATGCGTTTTAAAATTGTGTGAAGCGAAAGGAAAACCGAAGAGGAAGATCACACCAAAAATAAAAAATAAAAAAAATAATGAACTTCCTTGAATGGATAAAACCCTCATTTCTAGACTACTTGGAGCGGCAATACTCATCAAGTGAATAAACATCCCATGGAATTGGAAAGAGAGAAAATTGATATACTTGGAGCCAAAATAATGGCATAAAATAGTTGGTTCACCTTTCCGTGGGTGACTCCCATAGATGTTCCTGGCACTCCGCGCTTATTTCTTGTGTAGGGCGCTCACAATTGCAGTTGCGGCACATCATGTTCCGTCTGTAATTAAAAATGTCACATCTACAGAAGGCAAATGCTTTGGCATTAATGCTTTTGTAACTTGAAAGGCCAATCCCAAAATCAAAACATATGGGTGCAAGAGATGGTAACCAAACTCACGAGGGGCATTCCCATTCTCCTGGACTCAGCTCCCTCTTTGGACGATGTTCTCGGCATCGCAAGCATTCCTTCTTACTCGCAAAGTTCATGAATTCACATCTGAAACAAGTTTCACTTAGATAAGCTCCTCTCCATGTCATTTTGTCAGATAAGTGTTATGTACTTACTGCGGGCAGATCCAATCTCCCTTCTTCATTTCAATTTCATCAACATTATTAATCTTCTTCGGCCTCTTGCTTTTGCACTTTAAGCACTGAATGTTTCTTGAGAAGTTCATGAATTTACACCTATTACAGAATCAACAGAACATGCAAGAGTTCAATCATGGATGATAATACTTTATATTTGTTGCCTAATTTATCTATAAGGTCAGTAGAGAAAGTACAAATATTCAAAAACTGAACTATCTGTGAGCAAGATTGAGCATGTTCTTACTCTGGGCAGATCCAATCTCCGCTCTTCATTTCTATATCATCTGCCCCAACTCTTTTAGGACCTTCTTCATTGCATTTTAAACATCTTTTGTTTCTTGAAAAATTCAAAAAATTGCACCTGCAAAAACATAGGTTAAAACTAAACAGATTAGAAGTTAAATAAATAGGATCTGTGTAACAGCCCAAGCCTACCGCCAGTAGATGTTGTCTTTTTCGGACTTTTATTTTTATAACATGTATGCTAGGAAGAAGTTTTCATATTCTTATAAAGAATGCTTCGTTTTCCTCCCCAACCGATGTGGGATCTCACAATCCATCCCCCTTAGGGGGCCAACATGCTTCGTTTTCCTCCCCAACCGATGTGGGATCTCACAATCCATCCCCCTTAGGGGGCCAACATCCTCGCTAGCACACTGCTCGGTGTCTAGTTCTTATGTCATTTGTAACAGCCAAAGCCCACCGCTAGCAGATATTGTCCTTACCCCAGCTTCATTTTCCTTCCCAATTGATATGGGATCTCACAATCCACCCCCCGTCATAGTTCAGCGTCCTTGCTGGCACACCGCTTGGTGTCTAGCTTTGATACCATTTGTAATAGCCCAAGCCCACCGCTAGCAGATATTGTCCTTACCCCAGCTTCATTTTCCTTCCCAATTGATGTGGGATCTCACAATCCACCCCCCTTCATAGTTCAGCGTCCTTGCTGGCACACCGCTTGGTGTCTAGCTTTGATACCATTTGTAACAGCCCAAGCCCACCGCTAGCAGATATTGTCCTTACCCCAGCTTCATTCTCCTTCCCAATTGATGTGGGATCTCACAATCCACCCCCCTTCATAGTTCAGCGTCCTTGCTGGCACACCGTTTGGTGTCTAGCTTTGATACCATTTGTAACAGCCCAAACCCACCGCTAGCAGATATTGTCCTCACCCCCCGCTTCATTCTCCTTCCCAACCGATATGGGATCTCACAATCCACCCCCCTTCGAAGCTCAGCGTCCTCGCTGACACACCGCTCAGTATCTAGCTCTGATACCATTTGTAACCGTCCAAATCCATTGCTAGCAGATATTATCCTTTTTGGACTTTCCCTTTCAAACTTTCCCTCAATCCCTCAAGGTCTTTAAAACGCGCTAGGAGGGGGTTTCCACATTCTTATAAAGAATGCTTCGTTCTCCTTCTCAACCAACGTCGAATTTCACACAAAATTAGTTGAGCTAAATTAGCTTTGTACCTGCTTTCTAGCTCCAACTCAAAGCACAGACACTAACAATACTATCCAGTATGCCATTGTTTTTCACATCAAACAAAACATAGAAATTCAAGCTAATACAGAAAAGAAGTTTAGATATAACTTACTTTGAGCACATCCAATCTCCTCTTTTCATCTCAACATCTTTATACAATGCATCATTTGTAAGTTTTGAAGGCGTTTCTTTTCTTGATGGAGTTTTTGTATCAGCCTTCACTGCTGCAGCTGCCTCAATGGGTTCTTCACTCAGTTCAGATATCTCAGAAAGCAATTTCCTGATAGAGACTTCGACATGCTCTCTACCCAAAGCTTTGTCCCCTCCAGACAAAACAAGTGGATCCAATGCATAGGCCAACAATATTCTAGCTACATCCACAGTTCTTGCAGCTTCTGTTTCCTTCATAATAACATAAGCTCTATCACAGGAGCCTCGAAGGTTGCAAGTACTACAAACCTGTACAGAGTAGATACACTCAAATGAAACACAGGCCTTATATGGCAAAATAATTGTGATGTTTAAGTGAGAATACATGCCTCCCCTTCATCTAGATGCACATAAGCCCTTAACCTTTTAGCTGAATTGACAACTTTCCGGAAGAGATTGGGACATCCATCCTTCATTACCGTTTGAATATCATCTCTGGACAATGACCTGCACGAAGAACAGTGAAGGATTCTAGTCGAGCCATGAGAAATGTACCCGTGTGAGATCCCACATCGGTTGGAGTAGAAAACTCTTCCTAACATACGGGTTTTAAAGCTAACGATGATGTGTAATGGGCCAAAGTGGATAATATTTGCTAGCGGTAGGCTTCGGCTGTTACAAATGGTATCAACCGTAAGATTGGATGGTGTGCTAGCAAGGATGTTGGGCTCCCAAGTGGAGTGGACTGTGAGATCACACATCGGTTGGAGTGTTGTGGAAAACTCTCTCTAACAGACAGGGCTTTACAATTATGAAGTTAACGGCTATACGTAATGGCTAAAACTGACATTATTCGCTAGTCGTGGGCTTTGACCGTTACCACAGAAACTTCGTACATTCCCAAATAATGCAACCATCACTATGTCAGTATCAAATCCAATTTCAATTCAACAATTCTAAAAGGAAAACTCACTCTAAAATATCGTGGCGGTCGCGCGCAAAGCTAAGGCAAGCATCCTTCAGCACGTTCATGTCGCTGTAATCAGTCTCGGATGGCGTAACTGCATCACTACTGCTCCCATCTCCGTTTGCATCTTCCGAAGGAGGTTCGATCAAGTAACCTTTGGTCTTCAGGCCGTCGACAAAGGAAATCCATTCAGGCCAGGGGTGGTGAATGAGGCTGGAGTGTGGTTGAGGCGCATCAACGCCGCCGCCGTCGCCGGCGGAATCTAGCGTAGTAGAAGAGCTGCACTTGATGAAGAATCTTCTGGGGAAGAGGAGTGGCGATAGAGATCTGGATGTTGCTCGGGAGATTGCAGTGCCGAAGTGTAGGAATTTTGTAGGGGACATGATATGCTGGATTTCAAAAAATGTATTATATATATATATATATATCTTTTTTTACCTAAATATTCCGCTTGCAAAAAAAAGAAGAAAAAACGGCGGTAAACTTGTAAAACCTATTTAGTTCCGCCCCAGGGGGCGGTCCTCCTATCTCCTCGATTCCATTGCCGGCGGCTCTGCCCGAGCTGCGTCGTTGGGCGTGGTTGAGGCTGTTGCTTCTCTAGCCGCTGCTGTTTCCATGTCCCAGGTACGAAGCGTGTCCGTTTTGTAATAAAGTTAAAGGTGAACCTTTAAATTTCTCGTTCTCGTTGATCTCAATCTTCTGATTAGTTTTGTTGGCGATGAATCTGTGTTAGTTTCGAGGGATTTTTGGAAGGAATTTTGGATTAGTAATTGCTGGGAAATTTACATTTTGGATTAGTAATCTTCTGATTGTACTTTTCAAATCCCTCCTCTGCGGTTGCATGCCCGTGTGCACTTAATGACGACGTTTTACTTGTAATCTCAGCTTTTCTCGACTACTACGATGTACCATACAAAGTTGTCGAGGTCAATCCATTCAGTAAGAAAGAAATTAAGTGGTGGTCGGAGTATAAGAAGGTGCCAATATTGGTGGTTGATGGCGAACAGCTGGTTGACTCCTCAGGTATTGTTTCATTCTTCTGAATGTTCTACTTCATATTGGAAATAGTAAATCTCTATCTGTATCACTAACTCCTGGCAATGGCATTGCTGCAGCCATAATCGACCAGTTGAGCCACAAGGCTTTGTTGGATAAGAATGCTTCTTCTGTCTCTGAAGATGATGAAGAAACTAAGTGGCGTAGGTAGGTTTTTGCTTCTGTATCTAAATCGCTTTTCCATGCAATTGAATTTCACATGTGAATTTTGTATTCAAGGGGGAGAGGAAGAGGGATTGACGATTGCTTATTAGGTTTGGCCACTTGATCTGTATGTTCATATGCTTGATTATAGATACAACATATGTGAAATTGTTTAGTGTTAAGATTCTGAAAATTTGTGTTAGAAAAGCAAAGGCTACGTATGTTCTGCGTCTTGTTGGGCTATTGGACAGTTCCATCTGGTTTAAACTTGAGCTAAAACCAGATGCATGGTGGTTTAGTAACTTGCAAGTCCATTTTTGGTTATTTTTTTGTGTGTGGTTGGGGGATGATAATTGAATTCTTATTCATTACTAGTATGAAACCTTTTGGTTTTTGATTTCTTTCATTTGTTTAAATTTAAATTGATGCAGATGGGTAGACAATCACTTGGTACATGTCTTATTCATTATTAGTATGAAATCACTTGCTAGTAGTGTTCTTCTTAACAAACAAATCTCCACGCTGATCGAGGATTTTCATTGGCATTTTTTGGTAGTCCGCTTCAGTAAGTCTTTACACCTCAAAGATTTCCATGTGATGCTAGGGAAATTTCGAAATTCTCCTTTATTTGGATAACAATTTATACTGTAGCTAGTTTCTGATTATGTTGGGAGATTAAACTCTTGATTTTGAGAGTTTAATTAGGATTTGATTCCATGTGAACGTCCAAGCCCACTGCCAGGCAGATATTGTCATCTTTGGGCTTTCCTTTCTTGGCTTCCCCTCAAGTTTTTTAAAACACATCTCGGAGAGTGGGACCCCCTAACAGTCCAAGTACTCGTTCTTTCTCCAATTGATGTGGGATCTCCAATCCACCTCCCTTTGGAGCCCAGCATCCTTATTAGTACACTGCCTTGTGTCCACCCCCTTTGAGACTCAGCCTCCTCGCTAGCACATCGCTCGGTATCTGGCTCTGATATCATTTGTAACATCCCAAGCCGACCACTAGTGGATATTGTTTTTTTGGGCTTTTCCTTTTAGCTTACTCTCAAGGTTTTTAAAACGCGTCTACTAGGGAGAGGTTTCCAGGCTTCGACGGTTACATTCTCATTCTCATTGTCACTTTATTTTGATTTTTTTGGGATCTAGATTGAAAATAAACTTAGTGATTCTTGAGTTTGTTAAGCTATATTTAATTCATCCGCTTCTCTTGTCAATTCTATTCTTAGTTAATTTTGGCTTTGCGGAGAAGACTATTGTAGAGTATGCTGGAGCCGCCGCTATGTCTTTCATATGAAAGAAATTAAAGAAGAAATATAATATTAGCGTTATACGAAGCAGCTTGGATGGACGGGACTCTCTAGGTATGTACTCTGTAGTGTTAACTGTCCTTTTATCTTTTTTTTCTCTTCTTTTCACCATTGGAGTTCGTTTTTTTAAGCATTAGTCTCTTTTCATGAAAAGTTTCATGTCTTGTTAAAGAGAAGAAAAGAAGAAAAGGAGGTTTCAGACATCAATTTAGGACTTAAACATGTAGTTGGTCTTTTAGAATCAATTGTCCTTCACATCAACGCTTAGAGATATGCCAAATTCACAACCTTCTGTTTGAAGTTCATGAATGGCTCTTGTTTTGCGTTTTTAGGAGGCTCAAAGCCTAATCTAGCTGATCTTGCGGTGTTCGGCGTATTAAGAAGACCCATACGTTACTTGAGGTCTGGGAAAGACATGGGGTGGAGAACACACGCATTGGTGTGAGTGGTACACCAAATGGAGAGCACTGTTGGAGACTCCTCCATGATCATATCCTAATCTCTCCTCTCATCAACTCTCATTTTCTGGGCGTTGGTTACCCTTTGTTCTTCTCTTTGTGGGTACATGTGATGTCCAACAACCATATTACTGCTGTCGAGCACCCCTTCTGGCATCGGAATGATGAATTTCAAACCCTTCTAAAAAATAAGACATGGTACTTAGTTCCTCCTGCTGCTAGTCTTAACCTTATTGATTGCAAATGAGTTTTCAAACTCAAGCAAAAGTCAGATGTCTTTATTGATCGCTACAAAACACGTCTAGTTGTTAAAGGGTTTAAACAATCGTATGACGTTGATTATGATGATACCTTCAGTCCAGTTGTTAAGCCCACTACCATTCGGCTTTTATTATCTCTTGCTATTTCTTGTGGTTGGGCTATTCGGCATCTCTTGTGGTTGGGCTATTCGGTAGATTGATATTCAAAATGCTTTTCTTCGTGGCCTCCTTAATGAAAATGTTTATATGAAACAGCCTCCTGGATTTGTGGATTAAAGTTTTGAGGGGAAGCCCAAAAAGAAAGTCTAAATAAAACAATATCTACTAGTTGTGGATCTAGGTCGTTACACAGTATGTGCGAATTTTGATATCCCAATTGATTTTTTTGATCAACTGCCATTGTGTTACCATGAGAAATGGTGTCATCAGTATCATCCTCTTTTTTCTCCTTTATACTATTTTAAATGTTCCTCTGTTTTTTAAGGTAAATGTACTGTTCATGCAGATCGATAACGATCGTTCTCCTACTCGGACGTTAATAGCCTGTTTTATTGGTGGTACCTCTGAATTTTAAACTTCACTAGAAATTTTGAATCTTCCAACTTGAAGAAAATGAATTAAATGATAATTTTAATGATAAACCATTAAATTATAGCCAACGTAATCAATTATGAAGTATGTGGCACTTTGTGAAATAGGGTTTTTTTTAGTAATATTACATTATAACACAAACGAAAAAAAATATTAAATTTACATTTTATAGTCACGAGAATGATCGAGCTGGACGTAATTGGAAAAAATTGATCCAAAATGTCTTAATCAATAGATTTACGCTTAAGTTAGCAACTTAAGTTTTATATCTTGATAATTAACTTATATTCATCGTCGTTGGTCCTCGATCCTCCATTCTGATCATTGTATAGCCATGCCTCTTTTGTCGGTAGTTGTAATATATTTTTCTGTCAATTCTAATAGTTTACTCATCGTCACATAGGTCAATAAATATGTCGTGTTAACGAAAATAAACGTCAATAGTTAAGATAGATACGATTTTTAAACATAATTGAAAATTTCTTAAATTTTTTATATTTATAGAATTTATGTAGAAAAATATATAAAAATAAATTCATGGTTTCGGCCCCAAAATCCAAAATTGATAGAGGAGAGAGAGAGAGAGAGAGAGAGAGAGAGAGAAGAGAGAGAGAGGAACAAAAAAGGCTTCATCATATCCCCCTCTATTGTCAATACCTCCAAGCCGGCTACTCTAATTGTTATCTTCTCTCCGCCTCTGACTAAAACCCTCTTCCTCAATCGGAAACACCTTCCTAGAGTTTCCAACGCTCTTCTTCCGAGCATTCATGGCGTCCAATTCTGCCAACCTTTGGGTCCTGTTGGGATTGGGTTTGGCTGGAATCCTGTTGATGACGAAAAAGCTTAAGAAAGCCATTAGAGAGGATTTTGGAGCGTTTATAGAGAAGCTTCAGCTACTTCCTCCTCCTCAGCCTGCTCCTCCTAAAGCCCCTCATCCCCTGACCGGTCTCACCTTCGCCGTTTCGGACGTGTAGGCTTTACAGTATTTCATTTTTCGTTTTGTTATTGTGGTTATTGTATTTTTTGTCGTCGTTGTTTTGGTCGGTTTTTCTTTTCACATACATATTGCGAGCGAGTGGAGGCGCTAAACGAGTTGATATAAAACGCATCTTGAATTTCTTCACCGAGTAAATTTAGCGTTGTTGATTACCTTTGTGACAAGTTGAGTGCTTTGCATTTATTTTAATGATGGACTTCATCCGTTCCTTCCCTATATTTGCATTTTGGATTTAGGAAAAAGAAAGATGGGGAATCTGTGAAAAAAACTTATGTTTCTCGAGATTATGATCCGTTTTATTTAACCGCGGATTGGTATTCCAATCTAACTGGTGTATATCATATTAAATGTTCTGTAACTGCCGTGAGAATCCAATAAAAGTTTCTAGTTTGGAAATAATCTGTTTTTTGTTTCTGGAATATGAGAATATCATAGATAATTGTCAAACCACTTTTTGATCATCATGAAATATTTGGCTAGAGAAAATTATGTGGATATTTAAGGTTTTTGAGGCCTTGGGAGGAGGTGTGAGACTCGCAATTATTCTGTTTTGGTTTCTATATCCAATTTTTTTCCCCTTCAATTATTATCATTATTATTATTAATGGTTGGAGCTTATTTTTTTAATTTTTGTATGTTATTATAGGTTCACTTTTGTTTCAGGCCTTTGTTTTCTGTTCAACGATCAGCTGTTCTTTTTATATTTTCAATGAAATTTTAGTTTCACATTAAAAAAAAACAGGATATCTATCATAACTAATTGTCTATAACATTTTGTGACGATTCATGATGACACGTTCGTTCTCTCTATTTGAGCATTTTCTAGTTAGTTCCTAAAGTGGAGAATTTATATATGGTAATAACCAGATTTGAAATTGAAGGACATGTGACTGGGTTTGGTCATCCAGACTGGGCAAGAACACATGATGCAGCTTCTCGTACAGCTCCAATAGTTTCTGCACTTGTTGAAGGAGGAGCTACTTGCATCGGAAAAACTGTTGTCAGTGAACTGTCAAAGGGGTAAATATTTTTCTTAAAGTTTGTGTGTGTTTCAATTTTATTACAGAGGGGTTGAATGAAAGTTCATTAGAGGTATGGATCGATAAACAAGAAACTTTCCAGTTTCTCCAAATTCATTTCAAGCAGTGAGTGAGCATACTGTTTTATTTGGTTGGGTGTCCTTTGGTATGTAGTCAAGATGAGCTGTTCATTTAGTTTAGTGTCAAAACCATATTTTCCTAGTTTACAGTAATTTAGAAAAATACTACTCCATTACCTGCTCCTCATTCAATCCTTCATTTGATGATAGAGCATTGCATGATTCTCAATCTACAAATATTTATTTAGTTATATTTAATCTTCCTTAATCTCAGCATCAGTGGAGAAAACAAGCATCATGGCACTCCCACTAATCCTGCATCACATTATACTGTTCCTGGTGGGTCGTCCAGTGGAGCTGCTGTTGCAGTAGCTGCTAATTTTGTTGACTTCTCTCTAGGTGAGTTGCTTAAGTTCTGTGTTCCAGCCAATTCAATTATATTTCAATCTCTATCAAACAGGTTTTCCACCCATTTGGAGGCAGGGGCATCACCTTTATAGGCACCTTCACATACACTGCCCAAAAATTTCCCCTATAAGAAATATAGACGATGGCGAACTGAAAATCATTGAAATTCTCTTACCCTTAAATATTGTTGTAGGCTGCCAAGTTGATTTTTGTCGACTTCAGCGTCACATATTTCCTTTCCATTAACCCATTATTATTCATTTTATCTATTTTTCCAAAGTTCCATATGTTATTTATTTGATTACTATGTATTTTTTGTAATAAATTTTTGTAAAAAATGTTATAGATGAATCTGATGATGGTGCATATGTGACTCATTAGAACTTAACTTTTGGCTCTTGCGCATACACACACACAAAAGCTGACTAATTTATGTTCTTTCTGGTATGTGTGTGATCATATCAAGGTTCTTTGTGTCCATTAATATGCTTAATGCATGTAGGCAACTGATATTCTAAGTCTGCTACCAAGTACCAAATAAATGGGTTATTATTTCCTCAAATCTTCAAATTTCAGTAGCCATTCTTCTAATTTTGTTGGTTATATGACATGTTTTTGCCTTTTAACTTTCAGGCATTGATACTGTTGGTGACGTGAGAATACCTGCTAGCTTTTGTGGCATTTTTGGGTTTCGACCTTCTCATGGATCTGTTTCCCAAGTTGGAATCATACCTGTATCAACAAGTCTTGACACCGTTGGTAAGTACATTAACTT